CTAGGAAGTTGGTTTATTAAGGAACTAATAAGAGTTAGAACTCTTAAGTATATAGACTTAGATTTAGAGTAGAAAATTGGGATAATACGTGGACTATGATTTCTAGAACTATAATTAGATTTAGATTAGGAATTGGAATAAAAGAGGGACTATGGTTCTTGGAATTGTAAGAGGAATCTAATTCAATTAACTTCCCTATAAATACGTGTATTATCATGAATAAAGCATCAACTATTAATCTGAAGAATTTTTCTCTAAACAGTTGGAGGTTTTCTTAGATGAGCCTCACCATAGGCTGGCGAGGTTGGAAAACTGAGAAGCAAGCAGGTTACTTCCTTCGGACTTCATATTAGAAGGCAACCTGACCAAATCCAAAGCCTAGGACTCCAATAAATTGGTACCAAAGCTGATGGTTATGGATGACTTTAAAAGTTTCCAACACAATTTGAGATGTTCATAAAGCAACACCAGAAGTATCGTGTGTGCTCAAGAAAGAGGCAGCACGTGCTCGCCACTCAAGTTGAAAGCTGCTCCCAAGAACTGTCGGGCACAAGGAGAGAGACTGTCAACGCTACTAACTCAACAGAAAGAAAAGACAAGGAGCTAGCTTACTCCAGCAACAACGCAGAAGGAGGACGTATGGTTCCGCAATACACAAGGTTAGACTTTTTTACATATGATAGTTCAGCTGATCCATTAGGATGGATTTACTGCTACAAGCATTCCTTCTGACATTGAAGGACAACCAAAGAAGACAAGGTGGGCTTCGTCTCTTTTCACCTTGAAGACGGTCCCCAGCTGTGGTTCATATCACACTGTTAACCTTAGATTCGGTCAGCAAAAACACAAAAAAGAATTGTGAGAATTTGTTAAATTGAAAAGGAGGGAACAATTGCAGCGTACCGGAGGCGTTTCAAGCAGTTTTTTCTGTGTGTATTAGAAAGAAGTTGGGATCTTCAACAGTGGCCTTTAATCACCTGACATCACTTCTGCTATGAGTTTGGCAAGACTATATGAGAGTAGGCCTATCCCAAGAAACTGGAGGACAAGAACGACCAACGAGCATCCAACTAGCTGCTGTCTCTGCTTCAACTGTCATGGATTGTTTATTCGAGGCATATATGTAAAATGCTATTTTGGTCAGAATTTTAGAGTGATGAGGCGAGAGATAAAGAGAAAGCAAGGGATGAGAGAGGATTAATCAATTCACCTTGGCACTTGCGAACAAGCTTCATTTCAAAGAGAGGAGAAATGTTCCAATACACAAAAGAAGGGCATGGGACCCATGGAAGCAGCAAAGGAGCGAGTTTGAGTCTATAGTTGGATTGGAAATTTGTTTATTTAAAGAACTAATAAATGTTAGATTCTTTAAATATTTAGATTTAGATTTGGATTAGGAAATTGGAATATACCAGAAATGTGATTTATAGAATTATAATTAGGTTTAGATTCGGAAATAGAATAAAAGAAAGATATGATCTTGAAATAATATTAGGAATTGCTTTTCCAGAAATACGTATATTATCATGAGTAAAAACATCAATTTATTACTCGAAAGAGTTTCTCTAAAAGATCCATTCTCTTAATCAAGCCTCACCTTAGGTAAGCAAGGTCGGGAGAACTTGGAAGCAAACAGCTTCCTTACTTTGGGACTTCACATTATAAGTCTATGTGACCAGATCCAAAGCTCTCTTTGATTGAGTTCATGGTGGGATGTAGAACTTTTTTGTTAAGGACATCCTTGACATGTGGTTTGCTATCAGGTTTGTCCATTTGACATATGGTAGACTTCAATTATTTTAGAAACCTACAAATTAGAAGTGTTCAGTGTTTCTGGTATCTGATTTACCAATTTTTAGTTTATTAAGTAGCGATAATATTTGACTTACCATTTGCTTAGTTTACTGCAAGCTGCTGAATTTTTAAGTTCTACATTTAACTTTTACCTTAGGACTTATATTGCAAGAGAATGGTTTAGGGTTGCTGGCATGCTTTATGTTCCTCACCTACCTGTGTTTTCTTTTCAGGTATGAACAGGCTGAATTTGTAGAGAGGGAAATAGAACAGATGACGGAGCAGATCAAATCAATTATCCAGACCTTAAATGCCAACCAGGTGGGCCCTGTCATTCAATGGCTATTCTTCTTATGATTAGCTTTTGCTATGTGATAAAAGATACTATTTGTCTTTTACTTTGTTTAGGGTGGAGAACTTGAAGCAATTGATGGCATGACTCCATTAGATGTGATTGTTCGGATCTTGAACAATCAACTGAGTTCTCTAATGTGGATAGATGAGAAGGTGCATATTCTTCTTCACCAACAATAACTTTTTCCTTGAAAGACTTGTTAACCAACAATATTATTAGGAATTGTTATTTATGCCTTTGAATTCAATGTTATCAAGTGCGATTATCAACTCATAATTTTACTAGGATTTTTAATTGTGTACCTAAGGCATATTTTTTAATAAGATTCTTAATGATATGTGTACAAGGAGCTTTATCTTCAAGGAGTTTTCTGTTTTTTTGAGATAAAACTATCTTCAAGGAGTTTTCTTTTCTCACATTTCTTCTCCCTATAAATATCTCCGCTGCATCAATAAGATAGATTCATGTGAGAAAATTCTAGTGAATGTTTCAGTGCAAAATTAGGTATAAAGGGATTTGTATGGTAGCATAGGATTGAAAAAGTTTCATAGAGGTGAATTTGGCATGCTTAAGAGCTTGGAACTTGACTTTTGAGTCTAGTGAGCGACAACCTTCTTTCTTGTCTTCCTTGGTTTCTGAATCTTTCTCTTTGTTGGTTGGTTTTGCTTTTGTTGCAGGCCATTTCTTTAACCAAGAAGTTCTTGGTGATATCTTGATTTTTGTTCCTCCGAAAAAGAAAATGCCTAGTGATAGAACGTTCGTCCTTTTTTTTTAAAAAAAATTTTAGATGTTAAATTTTTAATGTGGTTCTGGAAGGAAAAGTATGAGACATTCTCTGGCTTGTTGGGAATGATTTTGGGAATAGATTCTCCTATTTTTTCACTAAACCTTCGCGAGCTTTTCAGTGTTATTCTAGACTTAGGTTGTAGACTGTGGACATAGATTCCTCTGGGGCCTGTATGTATTTCCATTCTTTAATTCCATACTTACCTTCCTATTAGTAAAAATGGAGTCTTCATTACCTCTTTTTAGAAGGTGAAAGCTCTTCCTAAAGTTAAGATATTCTTTTGGACTGCTATCTTAACTTGGATTAACGTCAATGATATGCTTTTCGATATAGTGTAAGGGAATATGAATTAGATAGATTGAAAGAGGAAAATAAAGAAAGATAAATTTTGTCCACTATCACATGATTGTGCCAGCTACAATCACATGTTTGTTACAAGTAAAATTACATGATTGTCGCAACCACAATCACATAGTTTAACTCTCAATTCAATGAGACAGTAGTTTTTTGTTCATAAACACTCTATTTAAATAATGATGAACCACCTATATATTTATAGAACTTTTGCGTTGCCTAATATGATTAATATCCTGACAAAGGAGACTGATAAAATAACACTACTAACTAAATAAGAAATAAAATTTCTAAACCAATAAAGAGCCTATTTTAAAAGTCGCTTAAATAAGCTAAATAAGCCTTGATAATTACATAAAGATCATAATTATCTAAATCTCGTGCTATTGAGATGTCTACCGTAGAATTTCCCTTTTCTGCGTCATTCTTTCCCCCCTTAGTTAAGACTCAAAGTTGAGTTTTAAAATGTCAAAGCAGCAAGAATGAAAACTTTAACGTGTCCTTGAAAATAATTGAAACCTGCAGAACTTGAGATCATTGTGAAAAAACAATAAGACTTCCAAAAAAGGATTCAAGGAGAAATGAACTAAGTAGGCATGACAAAACACACAAGGAAAAATTACCCAACTTTGCTTATTTCTTGTAGTAGCCAAAAAACTTTCTTTCTGTTGTCGTTGTAGGTGGGGCCCCATTGTTCATAAGATTAATTCAAAAATTATTGTTCTCAACTTGACAAACGTCATTGCTTATCATAACATTGAGATGTTCATCACTAGGTGAATTAATTTGTTCAGTGGGATTGGCAACATCCTCTGAGTCTCCTCAATTATCTTATTTACAAATTTACTTTCATTAGCTGGATGGCCAATGAATGTGATATCATCTTGCTTCATGGGAAGAAGTAGGTCCGAACTTATGGTGGTTACTATATTACGGTAGTCTTGTAGGAGAATGGCTGAATATTTCATTGCTTGCATTGCAGGTGGTTTAAGCTTAGTAACACAACTTTCAATAATTGTCTCTACTAATCTTGAGTAGCTTTTTTTTTTTTTTTTAAATTCTCTGAATGTAAGAGTGCAGAGGACAACTCTATGGAGATGTAATCACTTATAAATGAATGGTTGTAATTGCTTCCACATATGAGAGAAAATCCTTCCATTGGAGAATCCTTGTTGGTGTCTCTGCCCAATGTCTATGCTTGAGAATCGAGCTTCCAGCCTCTCCCCTTTTGGTGTATGGAATCTAGGTTCTGGTGTATAACTTTGTCTCCTAAACTAATATTGGGTTGTCTGACACGTTAATAGATAGGATTTTGGCTTGGGGTGGTATTAGGTCTGGCAAGTCCAGGAAGCTTCTTTCCCCTCCTTCCTCTGGCTACTTTAGGTGATATAGAAAGAAGGGAAGAATCAAATCTTTAGGGCATTTTCCATTTTGAAAGGACTAAAAACCTTTGATTTCACATATTGAGTACTTTGTATAAAGATATCCAGTTCATAATGGACAAGATTTAGGGAACCGTGGATATGTTTGGTCCTTTGCTGCTACACAAGTAAATTGGTACATACGTATATTTTCTACAAAAAAAAAGTATATTGATACATAGGACACATCCCCTCGTTCATTGGCAGTGATATATTTTCCTCTCTAAAGGAAATAAAATCTTCACACTAATGTTTCTCTTGCTCTCTCCTGTTGATACAGGTTTATTAGCTAAAATCATGTACATCTTTATGTCTGTGTCAATTGATTTCTCTATACTTTCTTTCTGTGGTTAAATTACACAACAGGATAATAGCAAAAGACCTATAGTGTCTATATCTAAGAATATGAGTAAGTTCATTCCAGAAACCAACTAGAAGCTACTAAGCCTGCATGCCTTTATCTCTGAAACAACAATACCCAATGAGTAAGTGAAGTTCAGGGCTGAATTGTGTGAAAAATAGAAGCTTTGGAGCTTATTATGATAATTGAAGTTGAAGGGGTAAATTGCATCCCTTTAGGTGGGTCGCATTCCGGCAGTTATTTACAAGTATATTCTTAATTCGATGAAACTGATTCAACTGGAAAGCAGGAAGCACCCTGAATGAAGAGCGTCTTTATTCTGTTAGATCTAAGAAGATTTATACAAATAAAATGAATATTTCAATGGATTTGCTCCTTGCTGCCTCTTTTGCAAGTAGTTTTATGCATTCTCTACCTGTAGCAAGCAGACTGACATTATTTACAGTTAGAAAGAAGGCTGACATTGTTTATGGTTGATAGGCTGAGGAATTCTCTTCAAGGATCCAAAAACTGGCCACTCAAGGTTCCACCATTGATCGTGAAATGGGAGGTCCTAGATTTTGGATGTCTTGAATATCTGAATATTTACATCATACTACCTCTTTGAGATCTGTTCTGTGAGTGCTGAAGACAATTGTTAGAAACACTTCTATCCCCTTGGTACCAATTGATTTGGTTGCTGGAGGGGGAAGCTCATCTGTGCTGTAGGTTGGTCAAGTTTTCCTCAATGATGTTTAGCGTTTTAAAATGTGTAATTTGTGCTGATATTTAAGTCTACATATTGCATTCACTACTTTTTGTAGCTAATTTCCTCCAGCTATATTGTCAATTCGTTTTCTGTCTCAGCTCATTTTTGAAATGAAGTTTCTTAATTCATTCTCTGGTGAAGGGAAATTGAACCCAAATCATAGCCTCATTAAAGAGGACTTTATGCCAATTGAGCCAAGAGGCTCATGCATTCATGTAACTTTTATGTTATTTTATTTATTTGTTTTAAACGAAAAAAGGATTAGTTAAATTCTTTTAACTCTTTATGGTTATCTTAACTAAGATAATTTAGCTGTTCAAAATGTTAATTTTATTTAAAAACGTAATAGTCTCGTTTGGATTAATTCTAACTTTTCACATTGAATATATATATATTTATTCTTAACTCGATTCTTAATTCTGTCTTCTCTTGGAATAAGTTCGTATATTGTTGTCTAAAAATGTTTATTTGATTTTGACCTGTTTCTCTGTTTAGGGTTGCCAATCGTTTGCATGATGTAATTGACTCAATTCAACCACAAGGTTATCAAGAGAAATTTGAGTGTAATATGAATTTTGCTTGCTAAGATAATGTGTATATATATGCAAGAAAAGTTTTGATATGATTTATTTTCTTTTTCTGGAAAAAACAATGTTTTGATGTTTAACATGCACACTTACACACTTTGAGCCCTAGAAATGATGACAATCAAAAGAGTAATGACTGACAGAAGCAACAATAATGTGAGCTTTTCCTCCAATTTCTCTCCGCTTGCAGCACCTTTTCTTTCTACCTTTGCTACTTGTGCTTGGAACAACTCATTGACAAGTATCTGAAATTTCGCCATCAGCTCTGTAATTTTACACATTGTTATGCTCCAAATCCACCTTACGATGTCTCTGCCTACTGATTTGCCTTCTTTGAAAGAGCCTTCAACCCTTTCACTTTCACCTACATTCGTTTCAAAAGATTTAGAAATAACCTTGTACCTCACGCAGATTAGATTCCAACCTAATTAGTTCTCTTCATTTTTCTTTTCTACTGTTTATGTCGATCCAGCCAGTAGAAATCCAAATGGTATGTTACAATGTGTTTGACTGTGCGAAGTTTTTGACACGAGAAGTTTTTGAGGCAGGTATTTACACTTCAATATATATGCATCTAATCTTTTATTCTATTTACATTCAAAATTTATTATAAGACTACAGTTGAAAAATAACGTGAAATCTATCTGTAAGTTTATATTTAATTTATGAGAAGATTTAAATTGTATTATAACAAAAAAAGGAATTCATATATAAGATTTCACGTGGAATTGTTCCACATTGAAGGAGTTTGAAATGTATCAGTTTCAGTTTCACACAGTATTCCATATATACTTGTGTTTTATCGTTTTAAATATAACTCTCAATCATATTCTAATTGAAGTGTGAATAGATTTTAAATCTATTCCACGTATAGTTTAGATATGCGTCTAATCTACCAAAAGCCAGCAATATGAAATTGACAATATAAAACTTCAATGCGTCTTTCATAGACCAACTCTCTGTGGATGCAGCAAATGTTTAGATATATATCGATGAAAAGGAACTCCTGTTTCAACAAGGCAAAGAAAAAGAGAGTTTAGATTAGCAACCTAGGCAGGCAGACTGGCGGAGCTCCCGAACTAATTCATTGTTTGTAATCGCATCCCACACAGCTTTATCAGATGCTAGTGAAATCACCACTCTCTGCAAAAACCCAAAATTGAACAGATTGAAATTAAGCTGCAAGATTTATATATATTTTAAAATTTTATTTTAAAAAAGAAAAAACAGAAGGCACCTTGATGGATGGTTCTGTCTGTAACAAGCGAAAGGCATTAAAAATCTTCTTCTCATAAATCCACGACTCAATTATTGGATGCACCCATCTCAACACACCTCCACATAAATTCATCCACTGGATAAAACTAGTTAAGAAGCCAATTAATTTGGATCATCTTACCCAGCTCACCAAACAGAGAATTAACTATATAGAAGAAAAACAAAATTAATTAGGCTCACTTTTGGAGAGCATCCACAGCGCATTTGATTTCGAGCTGAGATGGAACTGAATCGAAAGAGGAGGTGTTCAAAGACACAGTAGCTGTTTTATGTAGGGTTTGGGTGCGAGATGAATAGGATGAAGCAGGTGTAGCAGAAATTGGTGATGGTTGCAGGTTAAGATAAGAGGAAGAGAGTGTTTTTAGTTCGTGGTGTAAGTTCATGTCTCCACCTCCCATCCTTGTTTGCTACTCTTTAAAATTTAGAACAATTAATGGTTTTACCTTGTCTCTTTGTTTATGGCAAGCAAAAAAAATAAAAAGAAGAATGCACAGAGTCACATACCCAGACAGTAGGATAACATAGTATTATTTAATGTTTCTTTTGCTCAGAATTTTATGATATTTTGCTCAATTTATCATCATAATTTTACTAAATCAAATATTATTGACCGCTCACTATTAGACCTTAATATACATACAAGTAGCATGCTCTACATTTTTAATGATGTTCCGGTTTATGATTTTTAAGTGAAATCTAAAGATACTACCTACTAAACAACTACTTTTTAAATACTTTTTTATAATAGGTAAAACGATTAATTCTCCAATCTTTTTATATACACATGGGTGATAGGCTCAAGTTAGTATTTTTTATAGTAATAATAATACGAAACTATTAACTTTTTGATTTTATAATTAAATAAATAAATAAAAGAAATGTTTTGAGTTAAATGACATTTTCAACCCTTGGAATCTAGAACATGTGTCTTAGATGTTAAAATTGAAACATAATAGTTAAAGCCTAATAAATGACAAATTCTTCTTTTTCTTGTTTCACATGTGTTATTATGTATTATAAATATTTTTTCCCACATATGATCTTCAATAAATCTTCTTTTTGTAAATAATTATTGGTTATTTATTACAGTTTCATAAAAAAAAATATCAGTTTTGATATGCATAAAGAAAATAAAGCAATGAAGCTCGATTGGATATAGATTGTATATAATTGGTTGTGATATAGAAAGATATTCTAACTTTAACAATTATAATTGATACTCTTCCATAAAGATAAATTAGATACATTGGCACTCTAAAATCATAGTATATATACTGTGTACCAAATGAAATAATTGATTATGATGGAGTTTAGAAAAATTCACAATGTACCTGTATATTATATATATACATACATAATTATTATGAAATCTTGAGCATCCGAAGATTTTGCAATTAAATTTACTTTATTGATAATAGAGTTTTTGGAGAGTCAAGTTTATAAAAGAAATTAAAAAATGAAGAAAAATCAATATTAATTTTGAGGATTATCATACATTTTTCTCATAAATAAATTTATCTTACAAATTAAAAAATGAATATCTAGAGTGATGGATTAGAGTAAATTCAAGAAAAAATAATATATCTATATGGTTTCTGCATTTTCTTTTTTAAAAACCTAAAAACTAAAATGGTGTTACGTGGAGGAGATCAAGACATATAATTAAGTTGGATTTGGAAGGTGGTGGACCTATTAGTTGATGGTTAATAAATAATATCTATGAGTTAAAGGGGAATATTTTCTCAATTTTTGTTACAGCAATTGCAGCTGTTGAAGCAGCTATTGGATCAGCTGTTGTTTCGTCAATTTATCGTAACAGAAAATCAACTTGTATCAACCAATCAATTTTGTTGAATAAGTAGCATTAATCATAGAATGATAATATTCATTAATTTAAGAATTAACATGTATAATACGTTATAACCTAATAGATTAGATTTGTGAAAACGTAAGAAATCAAAGTATCTTGGCCTTCTCTTATTAGTTGATCCAGAAATACATCGATTAGAAAATTTCTGGTAAAGCTCAGTACCAATCAAGAATCCCCAAGGAATTCCAAAAATTATTGTTATATGCTTGTTCCAACCCTCAACTCTCTTTTCTAGGTTTAGAGATATTGAATCAATTGAGTGCACTTCTAACACTTGTTCCACTTTTGAAAGACCTTGTGTTATATCACCAGATCTCGATTTTTCATATATAAATATAACTAATGTATCTCCTTCATAAAGGATTTCTCCATAATGCCCATGAACAGTTGCTCCTGGAGTAGCCAAATAAGGCTTAGCTGATCTTATTACTATAGAGTCAACTTGAATTAGATCATATACTAATTCTCGTTCTCTGAAAATATAGAAAAAGGGAGTCTGTGCACCAATATCTGCCATAAAAGGGCCAAGCCATAACAGATGAGAATTTTAATTTACTAGCTACTTGTTTCATAGCTTTAATTTGAGTTACGGATCCTACTCTGGAGATGAAAATACCTACATTAATGGCGGGTCTGATTCCAGCATTGAATAGATCGGCATATAAGAATATTTATCCATTTGTAATGGAAATTACATTAGTAGGAATATAAGTTGAAACATCTCTCGATTGGGTCTCAACTATTGTTAAAACAGTCATACTTCCTTCAACTAACTGAGAGCTTAATATAGCCGCTCTTTCTAAAAGACGTGAATACAAATAAAAAACATCTTCTGGATAAGCTTCACGACCAGGCTGTCTTCGTAATAGAAGAGACATTTGGCGATAAGCCTGTGCTTGTTTAGAAGGATCATCATAAATGATTAAAACTCCAAAGAACAACTCTTCTCAAAAGGTGCCGAGTTGGAATCCCATTATAACTAAGGATTCTTGTGGTTCTGGAGGATCCAGCTACAGGAGACCAGGATCGAAGAGCTTTCCCCCCTTTTTCGACCCGACTCTTTCGAATGTTGGTTTTAAGAATGAGTGATTGCCCTTCTCTGACCCTTACTGCCTAACTTGAGAGTAGACAACTAATGCATTCCACTTACTGAATAGGGTTCTATGGTCGATCCGCAACCCCTGGATACCGGAGGCATCCTTGGGGTGATCTCGTAGTTCCTACAGGGTGGAGACGATGGGGTCGGTCCATGGATTTTCCTTCTTTTTGCCACATTTCTCTTAAAGGGTTGAAGGGAGATAGTGCATCAAGCTATTCGCAAGGGCCAACTTGATTCTTTGGCGATTTAAATTTTGTTAGCAATTTAATTTACTGATAATTCATTTTATGATGATTTAAATGATTTTTATTTATTTTTCAAAAAATATTTTCCACTAACACTTTTAGGTGAAAAATGGTAAAAAAAATCAATGATGCAGGAAGCTGAGCCTACAAACCGCGAGCCCACAACCAGCGAGCCCGCGGTCCGGTCTGCGTTCAGCCTGCGCTAGTTCATTGAGCATGCCCCGCATGCAACTGTGTGTGTGGCAGGGCTGCATACAGTGCGTAGTAAGGTTGCGCCTGTGCATGGCAAATAGCCTGTGTGCACACAGTACGTGGCATGGCTGCCTGCGCACGCGCACAACGTGTTACATGGCACGTATAGAGCACTGTTGCGCGCTGATGACTGCAGCTGATGGGACAACTACTTTATCATATCGGTCATGAATGGCCTTGCTTGGCCATGCTTTATGGGTCCCATTTCCACCCTTTCACTCTATTTCTCTGATTTTTATTAAATGGCACAATTTGACCTTCCTTTCCCTTTATAAAGCCTCTTTCCCTCTTTATTTTCTCAACACTTTCTTCTTCAATTTAACAAGATTAGAGAGAGAGAAAATAGATTTTTAGAGAGAGAAAAGAGCAAAAAAAAAGAAGAGAGTAAGAGTTTTTGCAAGCTTATCAAGAAATTTCTAAAAGCTTTCCTTCACTTCAAAAAGACTAAGTCGAATTAGTTACGGTAAGAGATTCTTTAGTATTTTCATCAACATTTCTAAGTTCTCTTTTTAGATAATTAAATTGGAAAAATTGAAGATTTTTTAAAATGGACTTTCATATTTGTTTTGGGTGATTTATTTTAACGTATGAAATTTTATTCTCGAAAATATAATAGAATGATGATTTGAATATCTATGATTTTGGTGCATGAACTCATGGGTTTGTGTTATTCAAATGAAAATTTTGTGATTCATGAATTTCTACAAGGGTTGATATGAAACATGGTTTTATTTAGCATGACGCATAAAGGTGTGATGATTGGTAAAGTGCATATGGGTTCGACCCTTTGCTTTGCCTTAGCAATAGCAAAGAGGGTTCTTCTAGTGGGCTCAAGAGGATGACCTGAAGGTCAAATTCAAATAAATGAGCCCTTAGGCTAGATATGTGAAAAAGGGGCCTACGAGCTAAATAAGTTATGAAATCCCTGTGGATTTAGAAGTGGTTGCATTGAACATGCAGTAGGCATATGAAAAGGATATGAAATTGTTGTGAGCATGATGTAAACAAGTGAAAAGAATGGAAAAATCCGTTCAACGATTATTTTTATGGGGCTTCTATTTCTCCATCATCTAAAAAGGTATCAGTGAACTGCTCCCTGTGATGATTGGCGGTCCCTCTGATGAGAGAGGATACACATTAGGTACATGTAGGGCACAAAGGTGAAGTACAACCATGGTCATAGTTTAGATGGAAAAATAAAATGAGATGGCCCAGATGGGTCATGATTCACAGTGATAGTCGGGATCCCTTCTGCCCTCAGTGGATATATGTTGTAATGGTTTCATGCAAATGTTAGTAAAAGACTTAATAAACCTAGAAGTGATTTAGAATGCTAGTCATAGTTTGCATGATGATCTCTTTGTTTGTAAAATGAGCTGCTAGTGTTATTACTTTCCCTATGATGATTTGTATGATTGACTTTTCTATTTATCGAGTATACCATTGGTTTAAATGTATGTAAGGCAACTTGTTCACATAAAATTTGAGAAATGATTCTTCTTAACATGGTTGAATAATCGTTTCACCAGATTTCTTAATAAAAACAAGGGCTTTCTAAATATTTAAATGATTCCATTCCGCAAAGGTTCCCTAAGGAAAGAGGCATAAGAGTTATTGCTTATGTTGTTTATCTTTTAAACCTTAGTCGTGTGATTTAAATATTGTTTCTCTTACTGAGTTTATGTGAAACTCATCCTTAATCCATGCCCCCATGAGTCATCCCTTCGAGTTTGACTAGACCATTTACAGATCCTCGGTGATTTCTCTAAGACATAATTCAAGTGTAGTAGTTATTCTGCACTCTGATGTAAATTTCCCATAAAGACTCTCTACTATGTGTTTTATACCTAAGTTTGCCACCTCATGGCCTCAATGTAAGAATTAAACCTTATATTATCTGTAAGGAATTTTCTATTTCTGCTTAAATGTCAAATTTTTGTTTTAGCACTTATATTTACTTAAGTAGTTGGCTCCCTTTTTACCCCCATAGGTATTTGGTATG